GTCCAAGGCTTGTTATCAAAAGAAGATGCTGGTAGGGAAGGCCTTAGCTTTTCCAAAGGCCAGGATGGTGTCCCCAAAGCGAACGGGGTGGCTGATGATCTCGCGTACACATACAAATGTCCAGAAACCCACGGAGAGCTTCTCAACATCACGGAGTTCATTGCGATTCAGGATTTACCAACAGTTGTACAACGAATCCGAGCCTTATATCATCCTAAACTCGCAGCTGAAAACAAATCTAAGCTTGGAAGGTTTGCAACAGTTCTAGTGGACCACATTTCTTACCTGGCATGTCAGCCCGACCATCCTCCATGTATCATTTTGGAGGCACTAATACGCCACATCCATTCTCTAGCCAAGACCTTCCCTGAAGAGATTGGGCGTGCTTTCCGGACACATCTCAGATCATTTGACGAAGACCGTCCTACTGCTCCCACTCCTGGTGATCTCATTATTCTGACAGCCATCGCTTCAATCTTCCCTACATCCGATCACTTCCACCAAGTGGTCACTCCAGCGATGCTCTGCATGACTCGCTACCTCGGGCAGGAAGTCCCGCAATCCCTTAGCGATCTGGCTACGGGGACTTACATTAGTACTCTTTGCCTCCAGTACCAAAGGCTGTCGAAGAGATATGTCCCGGAAGTAGTCAATTATGTCCTCAATGCGGTGTGGGCACTGTGCCCTGTGAAGCCAAAGCATCTTCCAGGGCTCTTTCCACATCACCGCCTCCCAGATTCATTACGGATCCGTAGTACGTCAGACGCCATTGGAGAGCGGACGCAGCTGTCATTCTGGGACGTCGTCTGTGCACCACAATCCACAGAAGCTAATGACCAAAGTATCAAGGTCGTGCTTATCGAGACGCACATAGCTATAATTGAGACTATGGCCGAGTTGTGGGCCAAGAAGTCGGCCTTCTGCGAAGCCTTCGCTATCATCTACTCCGCTTTGCGCTTCCTACAGAAAACTGGGAAGCTCAACGACAAGACTAGGGAGGAGCTTCGGACAGTAGCACATAAAGTCCACGAACAACTTATACAGTCCCTGTCCGCCCGCCAGCCTCTTCGCCTTCACAACCACCGACCGTTAGCCATCAAAACATCCATTCCTAAGTTCGAAGAGTCCTACAATCCAGACAAGCATTACGACCCTGACCGAGACCGTGCCGAGATGTCCAAGTTGAAAGCCGAGCACAAGCGCGAGCGCAAGGGTGCATTGAGAGAGTTGAGGAAGGATGCTAACTTTATCGCCAGAGAGAGCTTGAAAGAGAAGAAGGAGAAGGACAGTGCGTATGAGAAGAAGTACAAGCGGCTGGTGGCAGAGATCCAAGGAGAGGAAGGCAGGGAAAGCAAGACTTATGAGAGAGAAAAGAGAATGAGGAAGGGGAGAAAATAGGGTGGTCTGTAGCAGACAAAAAACAAAGATGCTCATCTCATCTATTCCATTTGACTATCCGCTTCGGTGGTGAAGCCTGTGTGAGATCCTGGAATGACCGAGGTGATTGATCCCTTCGCGCTGTCGCTCTTTCCGTCTTGTTCTCACCGTGCACTACTGCATTTGGCTCAATATACATCTTTTGGCAACTTCTCTCTGCGCACAATCCAGCCAAGTAGCTCTATTCAGGATTATCCTACATGACAGAGGTCGCTACTTTACTATATCGTCCAAAACATCGCTTTTAAAATCTCCGAGACCTTGATCGCAGGGAATCCGGGGAGCGTTGTCAATCCCAAGGCTTCACCCTCCGCCAGATTCCCCGGCTATGGATTCGACATCAGACAGCTCGAGTGCGGCGATCCTTGCAGGTGAGATTTGGGAACTAGAACAAATCCGGATGCATTTGGAGTACTTAAACTTGCTCAAACCTTAGCGTCTCTATTTTGTTTTATTCGAATATATATAAAAAACAATTTCAGCTACTGAGAGTGAAACAATTCCAGACTTTACCAGCTCCGGCTCCCCATCCTCTTACCCTTCAACAACCATCTCCCTGACCTCTTGTCCTCCAACACCAGACGACATGGATTTCAACCGGTCAGACAACGAAGCCAGAAGCAGTGAGCCTATCGCCGAACCGCAGGGCCAGGAGGACATTCAGCCCAATCACCAGGATGGCCTGAAGATGGCGTCCGATGTCTCGAACCAAGGGGATCTAGGGGGCGAGTCAGCTTCAAAGGCGCCAGCGCAGGAGCACCTCTTTCCCAGAAGCCCGAAAGGCCAAGGATCTCCCGTCGCCATTGCTATCCACCGGGTAATCAATGATGACCATGAACACACGGCGCCCTGGTTTCCCCAAAGCCCCACATTCCTTCCCGTAACCATGGTTTCGGAGGAGTGCTCCTACAGTCCACGATCAGACGGGTCCAGGCAAGAGTCAAGAGAGCAGTCCCCAACAGCTGGACGACGGGACAGCCAACAGCCTCAACTTCGAAAATTGAACGGTTCCTCACAACATAGCTGGCGGGAAAGCGATATGGCTCAGACGCGGGACTCTTCAGCCAGGGAACCATCATCTGTCGACGATCAAAGCAGGGCCGCGGCGGAGGTGGAACACCCAGAGAACCCTTTGAGGGCCGGTCAACCCGTCCTGGACCGGTATCCTCGTGACGATGCTCTAGGCGCTGCTTTTGACACACCATCTCAATGGGAAAACGTCCTTCCTCTCATACAGATGACTACGTCCCCGTTGCCGGACATGCCGGGCCCCCATCGGAATCCGGAGAAACTTTTGCCTCCTCTTACCAACACCAGCCCGCCTTCGACCGCAGAACTCGTTGATGGGCCCCTGGTTCATCGGTGGCGCTCGCGGCCCGACTACCGATGGTCTGGCTTTTTGCCGGACGTGTACGAAAGCCGGCGCCTGGAATTGCAGACGGTGGACGGTGGGCCGCCTCGTCTAGTGCAAGGGCCCACGCAGCACCTCGGGCCGCCACTGAAACCGTTTGATGGCGCAAAGGCCGGGGAGGTGGCTATCGAGCAATGGAGGCGCGTCGTGAGGGAGAGAGAGATTCGCGAGGCAGGAGGAGTGTAAATTTGTGGTTTTTCATGCAGGATTCGACAGTGCTGTTTGAGAACAGATTGTCAAGATTGGAGACGGGATCGGTCGTCGGATAGATTAAGTTTGTACATATCGCCGTGAGTATACTTAATGCAGATGCACGCGTGGGTATCTTCGCATACATTAAACCCATGAACCTGCCTAAACCGGAGAATCCAGTACTCAGTCTCCGACTCCACCCCGGGCATAAGTAATCTTCAACCTCTTTGGACCCTTACCATCGTTGTCCTCCTCCTCTTTCTCAACCTTCTTTTTCTTATTGTTCGGGCCCGCCTTCATGCTTGTCGAACTCGTCGGCGCGGCATGATTGCCCTCCCTCACCGACAGCGGACCATTCGGGTTACCTGACGTGGGGGTGGGGGCGTGGGAGGGCGTCGTCTGAGCCGACGAGGTCGGGGAGAGCTCCTGCCATCACCGGATACTCAGCACACCGCTTTCCACATCGACCACATCGAGCCCGCGCCTATGCCTTACCCTCATGAAGCTCGCCGAACTCCTCGAAAAGACCCGGTCGCTCTCCACGACCTGGCCCTTCCTCCTCGCGTTCGTCCCGCCGCCCGCGCCGGCGTTGGTGGCGCCGGCCGTGGCGGAGGAGCCTTTGATGTAGTTGTCGAAGCCTTTGATGATGTTGCCAGCGCCCGTTTCTTCGAGGTAGGAGGCTTCGTAGCGGAAGATCTGGTCTTCGAGGGTGGCCTGGGAGGGGAGAGGGGGTCAGCACGATAGGCATGCTAGGTGGGTTGTTCGGGGGTGGGGAAGGATGAGACCATGTTCTTGTCCAAGAGGCGCTTCTTCTGCAGCGTTTCGCGCAGGTCACGCTTGAGCTTCTCGTAGTAGGGGACGCCGCGGGTGTTGTCGGTTGGGGGGATGTTCTCGGCCATGGTGCGGGATGGAGAGATTGTTGGGCGCGAGCGGTGTGAGTGGCCGTTGGAGCAGGTGGGATGGTGATTGTCGCACGCTCGCGGATCCTCTTCGGAAGGGTTAAGGTATGCTTGGCAGGACAAGGTTACGTTACAGAAATCTAAAATTTCTATCCGGGCCCTTTCTTCCACTACCACTACTACCACTAAAATTAGACTGCTTGGAGCAATTTGGAATTGATGCTATCCGTCACGTCGTTGCCCTAGATCATCGACTTCTAAGGTAAAGTACTTGCCTATTAATAAATTGAGAAATGATTTACCACTTGAATTTGAAGTCTCTCACTAAGGTAGTAAGGTACCGCGGTAGGGCTGCAAGATACTTTACGCTAAGCTATCTATGGGCTCCAAGTTGGTCCCCAATGGTCCCCAATAGGTATGACCAATTAGCACCCGCGTCAGCGCCGAAGTATCTTTCCGAATTGTGTCTACGAGTATGTACGTCGGTACACTATTCCCCCCAGCCAATACAGGGGATCTATGGAGATCAATGATAAGGAAGCAGGGTTAAAACGTGTTGGGAAGAGATGACGACGGCGATAGCGAGATGCTGAATGGTCCTATTGATTGCAGAATGCGACATGCGACTACGAAACAGTGCACGATACTACCTTACTTTATCACTTCACACAATACCATGATGCCACATCATGGGGGGGGCGGGGTAAAATAGGCCTAAGGTAAGCGAGGTTTTGGGAGATTGGCCCAACTGGGCTGGTTGGCCAAATTGCTCCCAAGCACTGCCAAGCACTGCCAAGCAAGGGCTGGCACGAGCCGCCTGGTAACGTGCAACCCCACTCGTGCGTCAAACTAAGGTAAAGTAAACTTTGATGACGGATAAAAGCTTAATGTGCAGAATGCGCGCAACATTTATTTTCAAGGTAGTAGGACGGGGGAAATTGTGGGAGCAGGGAGCAGGGAGCTGAGAGCAGGGAGCTGGGAGCAGGGAGAGAGGTTGTCTGCGCTCTGCTGTTGCTGTTGCGGTCCTTCCCCAAACAACACCATCACCGCACACCTCCACTATGTTCATCCCCCACCACTCCTTCTCCTCCACAACCCTCATCCTCACCCTCCTCCAATACCTCCACCCGGCATCCTCTCAGACCAACCTGCCCTCCTCACCCACCACCACATCCTCCCTCCCCACAACCTCCACCCCGGTCGACTCCCCCTATTACAACTTCACCTATCCCACCTTCCCGGATGACTACGACAGTGGCATCCAAGTCTCGTATAAAGACACCATCGACGTGTCCTGGATCGCGAACGGAGTACAAAATACGCCCGTGCTGCAGATACAGTGCTGGACTCGAAATGATTCGAGTAGCTTCATCTGTGCGTACTTGATCTAACCTACCCCTCTTTCTCCCCCAACCATCATCCACCACCAACATCATTCCCGATGAAGACATGAACTAACAAACCTTTAATTCCTCCCTGCCAGACTACCAAAGCCGCCCATCCTACACCCACAACATAACCTCATCCCCCAGCCCCGAATACCCCCTCCCTCTCGCACGGTACCGACAATACAGCCCCTGCGAACTGCGACTCCTGGATCCCCATCAGACGTCCTTCACCAATGGCAGCGAGAGCGCGACGAGCGTCGCGTTCTTCATCAGCGAGGACACGAACGCTTCGACGGCCGGCGTGACCTGGAGCGAGGATAACGCGGCGCCGAAAGTGGCGGTGGATGCGGGCGTCGCGACTGCGGCGAGTGGGAGTGCGGGCGTGTATCATAAAGGTGTGATGGCGTTAATGTGGGCGTTTGTGGGAGCGTTGGCGGCGGCTACGGTGCTGTTGTGAGGAGAGGGATGGATGGATGAAAGAAGGAAGGGGTGAATGAAAGAAGGGATGAAAGAAGGAAGGGATGAAAGAAGGAAGGGATGTCAGGTACGAGTGTTTGGATCTACACTTCTCAACAAGGATGAATTAAATACCCTAATAATCACAAAATCGATAACATCGACGGATAGCGACTATAGTAAAGAATAAGCTCTATATCTAAGATGAGAAATTCTTAATCCATCCATGTGAGCGTGATCAACCTTCGAGACACGTAGGGTACCGAGAGATTGTCACAGCTGAGAAACGCGGCAGCAAAGAGAAACATAAAGTGACGGGTGTGTGACAATATCAAGGATTTCGCAGCGTGAAGGCCGCATTGTGCAACCATCGCACTCGTGCTCGCGTGGCCCCCCTTGCGCGTAACACGAGCGTAAAGCGACGCTGATTCTAGGCCCGATAGGGGCGCCGAGGCCCTCGGGCCGAAGCTACATATTTTGCGGCTTGGCGCTCCTGCCACGACGACATTCATTCCTGAGGGGGCCGGTCTACACACCGCCCGAATCGTCCCTTTGTTTTCTTTTGGAACCGACACCCCATCAATGTGCGCTTTTTGGGACCCGTAGTCAGAGTCCGGACAACGAGAGTACGAACCGGAGCCCGAAAAAATTGCCAAAGATGGACCACGGCGGCATGGACCACGGCGGAGGGATGGACATGGGACACAGGTGCAACATGAACGTCGGTATCCCCCGTCCCATCCGAACCACCACCAAAAAATCCCTCCCGTGCTGATGATGCACGGCACCAGATGCTCTTCACCTGGGACACGACGGACCTGTGCATCATCTTCCGCTGGTGGCACGTCGGCTCGACCGCCACCCTCTTGCTCTCCCTCGTCGCGGTGGCCGTGCTCACGGCCGGCTACGAGGCCGTGCGGGAGGCGGGTCGGAGGTACGAGTCGAGCGGCGCCGAGTACGGGAACAGTTTGCCGAGTAAGTGACGGTCCGGTTGTTGTTCTTGTCGTTGTCGGTTGCAAAGGGGAAGGTCGGAGCCGCGAGAGCTAAGGCTTGATGTGTGTCTTTCAAGGTGATGATGATGATGATGGTGATGATGGTGGTGCTGGTCGAGATCGGGGCTCATTTCTCTGGTCAGGGAAGGGCGCCGGGCGACAGGAGAAGAGGGTTAGACTGGTCAAGGCCGCGTTTTACGCGGTGCAGGTGTTTTACAGCTTCTTCATTATGTGGGTTTCCTCCACAGCGGTGGTCTGTTGATGCGCGTGCTTACACTTGCAGGCTTCTGTTCATGACATACAATGGCTGGGTCATGCTTTCCGTGGCCGTGGGGGCATTTATTGGCTACCTTGGTTTTGGTAATTCTAGCCCAACAAAGAGCGTGGCGTGCCATTGATGGGCACGCTTTTCTGTAACTCGCAAGGGGACAAACCCCTTTTATCAACGTACTAGCAACGTACATGATGTTCTCAAGGCACATCCTCGGCGTCGTCGTCCCCAAATCCAAAATTGAAGGCCTTAGCATTTGCAACATGCTCGTCGTCTCCGTTGACTAGCTGGTCCCATTTTCTCTTCTTCCCTCCATGTATCTTCTCCATTTCCCCAAGGGCTTTATCCAACACTTCGGGATACAGCTCACGCATTTTCTCGACAAACAACTCATAAGGGTTGTTGATATCATTATGGAAACCCGAGACTTGGTCCGGCTTGGTTTTCAAGAAGTCCAGTACGTTCACCAGGTGTGCTTGTGGGACAAAATTCTGTGTGATGGCGATCTAGCACATTTCAAGGTCAGCATTTCCACTCCTAGACGAAGATCTGAGTGAGACGGGTGGTAAATCGGGTAATTTGTTCCTCAAACATGTCTCGCAACTCAAACAGCAGTCTTCAACAAGAAGAGATGACTCCGAAAATTGCCTTACGCTGGGACTTAGGTTTACCACCAGATGCCACCAACCTGAAGGCACATGTAACACCTCCCCCTCCTTACAAATGCCTTCCGCACAGCCTGACATTGCTTTTGCTTGTGCATGAAAGCCTAACATCCATTCCGCAATACTCAAAGGGCTGGTGACTTCGCTTTGATCCTCTGACACAAAGACGCCAGGTGGGGGCGGCTGGGATGGAGACGTTGGGAACATGATCCAGTACTTTGAGCCACGGAGGACCGCATTCCAAGCGCTAGAGGCTGCGTTAGACAGTCAGGTATGAACCCGAATCGCGTCAACGAGCATACCTTGTAGCATTCGGGTCTTTGTGGAATGTGCTCCCACTTCTTTCCGGGCCTACAATAAGCCATCGACTATCCGGCCTCTGCTCGCCCAAGACTGAGAAGAGATCTTCGCCGAAACAACCTGGCGCCCTATACTGGCCATCTTTGCCGACACGAATGTCCATCTTCTCGACGAAAGAACGATCGAAGAGATATAGTGGGCTCTCGTCCTGGTTACCATTCATATACTCAACATATGTTTTGAGAGGCCAATCGACGGCCTCTGCTCTGAAGCTGACGTCGCCGTACTTCCCCAGCATGGCTTCGGTAGACCACTCTCGATAGACTGGCCATTCTCGCACAGGGTCGGTCAGGATGAATGGTCTATCGGTCCATGCATGACTGAACTCAAAATTCGAGAGGTCTTGTAGCCGTGGGATAGCGTTGCGAGCTGGTATGTTACTCGTGTAAGGAACCAGCGAAGTGTGAGCGCAGAGGAAGGGCCGATGGAGGACATCAGAGAATAAGTTCTGGCAGGATATCTGGGAACGACAGGTTTCCGGCAAGTTGAAGTAGGTAGAACGCCATGTTCCACGCCACGCAACAATGGAAGTGGAAGACCTAGAAGATGGCCTTTCAGCATGCACTTGTCTCTTGAATTTGTGGTGCACAACACGTGGGAAATTGCTTATGTGCAGATCTCTAGCCCGTAGCCGATGTTCGAAAACAGCATTGAGATATCATGATAGGTACATTTTCTGGGGACAAGTAATCCCACACCCTGAACGAGCCTGCCTTGAATTTATATGGGCCAAACGACGGTAACAACAACGAAGGTCCCGACTACGACATTCAAGATGGCTCTTGTGGCAACGATGCCAGAAAACTCCAAAAAGTCCAAAAAACCGATATGGGGATTTCATACTCAATGCATAGTGTCTTCCACAATTCTTCGAGTCTGGAGAATGCGTACAAAGCCTTGCATGCACAACCAAGCCGCTTGAGTGAGGCTGCATCCAGAGATTCCAGCACTTGAATGAGTAGTTCGTCGGGCAATGCCGCAAAGGACCCTGCAGCCAGCTTGATGTCCTCGGTGGCGGTGTATGCGTTTCCTGCGGGTCTGATTCTTAGGGGATGTAAGGGTACCAGTGAGTCATGTTCTACAGAGCTCGTTGGAAGGGTTTGACTTGAAGTTTCTCCTGGAGTCATCTTTTGTGAGGAAACCAAGACATTGCCGGCCATTTTTCAGTCCAGTGCTGTAAGCATGACTCCCCAAAGCTTGTCTAGATTGGCATTTTTTGTTATTTTGCACGATGTAGATTTATTAGTAGAATGGCTCAGTGTCTATGTGGCTACTTGTTACCCATAGGTCAGGTCCCGATAATCGTGGTAGGGGTTCAAAGAGACGCCACCTCGGCAACACCTCGGCAACTAGCAGCTAGCAGCGCTAAAATTTGAGTCTAGAAATTTGAGTACATAATTTTCAACCGCTGCGCGACTCTCTTTTTTTTTCACATCTATTACCAATACTTACCACAAGACACCAACAACTCCAATATCAGACCAGCACTCGCAAAGGAGTGCCCTGATATCTACATAATCACAAGTTTTCACAAACTCATCTGGCCGGACACCTCCAAGGTCCGTCTTCAGACAGCCTCACCACTACTTCTACAACACAAACAAGATCACGAACCTGAAGGTCGTGATCTTTTGCGAAACAAGTCGCAATCATGGCTTCCAACGATAAGGGGCTTGAGGAGATCCCAGAAAGTACGTCGACGCTTCCATCGAGCTCTGGCGCTTGGCACCAAGAAACCCCGATCCTTTGGTTCTTTGCAAAGTCATGGCTGCCAGGCTGACATGGTCGTTCCTAGCACAAATCGAGTCCAACTACGATGAGGTCACCGACTCCTTTGACTCCATGAGCTTGAAGGCCGAGCTTCTTCGTGGTAAGTTAACAATACAAGATGCGCCAACACTGGAAACGCCTCGGGTTACTGACGTCTCTTAGGTGTGTATGCCTACGGTTTCGAGCGCCCCTCTGCTATTCAGCAGCGTGCTATCATGCCAGTCATCAAAGGTACATTGGTAACTCCACACTATATCGGATCATATTTCCTGACATTTATTGCAGGATCGGACGTCATCGCACAGGCACAATCTGGTACTGGGAAAACCGCCACATTTTCCATTTCCGTCCTGCAGAAGCTGGACCCCAATGTCAAGGCCTGCCAGGCTCTGATACTTGCTCCCACTCGTGAGCTGGCTCAGCAGATCCAAAAGGTCGTTGTTGCAATCGGCGACTTCATGTCTATCGACTGCCATGCTTGCATTGGAGGTACTAGCGTTAGGGATGATATGCAAGCTCTCCAGGCAGGACCCCAGGTCGTTGTCGGAACTCCAGGCCGCGTGCAAGATATGATTCAGCGTCGTGTCCTTAAGACCGACTCGATGAAGATGTTCGTCCTCGACGAGGCCGATGAGATGCTTTCTGTTAGTATTGAATTCTTGCGAGAGGCTCATGATACATTTGCTTACTATATGGCAGCGCGGTTTCACAGAGCAAATCTATGACATCTTCCAACTTCTCCCACAGTCGACTCAGGTTGTCCTCTTATCCGCCACTATGCCTCAAGATGTTCTCGAGGTCACCACAAAGTTCATGCGTGACCCTGTCCGTATCTTGGTCAAGAAAGCCGAGCTCACCCTCGAGGGTATCAAGCAGTTTTACATCGCTGTCGAAAAGGAGGACTGGAAGCTAGACACTCTCTCAGATCTGTACGAGACGGTCACCATCACACAAGCTGTGATCTTCTGCAACACTCGGAGAAAGGTCGACTGGCTCACAGACAAGCTTACCGCTCGTGACTTCACCGTCTCTGCCATGCACGGTGACATGGACCAGGGCCAGCGTGATCTGATCATGAAGGAATTCCGATCCGGATCCTCCCGTGTCTTGATTGCCACTGATCTGTTGGCTCGCGGTATCGATGTCCAACAAGTCTCGCTGGTCATCAATTACGATCTGCCTGCAAATCGCGAGAACTACATCCATCGTATTGGTCGCGGCGGACGATTCGGGCGAAAAGGTGTTGCTATTAACTTTGTTACGGCTGATGATGTACGAATGATGAGAGAGATCGAACAATTCTACAGCACTCAGATTGAAGAGATGCCGATGAACGTGGCCGGTAAGCATTGATCATCCCACGTGATAGCCTGGAGCTTTGCTGACCTTTTCACTAGATCTCATCTAGAGAGCACGACTGTTCGCAATTCGAGAGTGCCAGGCTGCGTGGCATTGCTTTGGTGTCTAAAAAGGGCATCCAGGCAATTACAGCACAAAATATTTCCTTCCAAAGGGGTAGTAAGGGGTTGTTTTCATAGAAGGGGGTTTCGAGATTCGATAGATTGCTCGCAGGACAGCTGGTATCATGCTGGCGGTGTTCTATTTCCTTTCGCATGCAACGGCAGGTCTCATGATTCAGTTTCTGCATTTCCTAAAAGTCTTATGCTTGTCCTTCGCTAGGCTAAGGCCGAGGCTGAGCTATGCGTTGGATCCTCATGTTTCGGATCTCGTGTTCAGCATGAAAGTTGCTAGTATTACGCTCTTGAATAGATCGATCAAATACAAACAGTACTCCTCGAATGCTGTCGAAATTGGGATCCAAAATGCTGAATGGCTTTGACGGCTCGCTAAGTTAGTCTCGATTTAAGTACAAATTGTTTCTCCATCCATCCATCCATCCATCACTTTCGTTTTCGTTCTCAATTTACGGCCTTCCATTCCTTCGGCAGACCGCGTTCTGATAGCTGAGCACTTGATGTCCAGATTGTTAAGTTACTGCTGCATTCTGTTCATCGCGTCACTCCAATGGCTGGACCGAAGGAAGAATGGTTGATCTGGGATAGGCGTTTCCAATTCGGATACAGCTGCCTCAATCAACGCTTGAAAAAATTTGAGGCCGTCACGCAGCAAATTGCGCAGCTCGACCAACAGACTAAACATCTGACAGCCAGTAGCAGGCATCTGCAAGAGGACAACGACGGCTTGACAGACAAGATTCAGCAGCTCCAGCAAGCCTCTTACCAGATCGCCCAGCTCGACGAGCAGATTCGAGACTTGGCAGCCAGCAGCGGAATACGGAAGGAGGAGAACAACGAGTTGAACAACAGGATACTGCGGCTCGAACAAGAAGGCATTCGACGAGATCAGGAGAATCGGTTGGTTCAAGAGCAGCTGATAGAGAAACTCAGTGTGCAGGAAGGGGATTTCAAGAGTGTGGCTGTCGCCATGAAAGGGATGCATGAGAAAGCCAGGGCAGAACGAGGACAGCGAGGAGAGGAGATCCAGCAGTTGAGGTCACAGGTCGGAGATCTCATTGCAACCAGGCGCACACCTGGATGGGATGCCCGAGATGGTAAGTCAGGAGGGCGTGCCATACACGGCAGTGTCGGTAACGTTTGGCATAGCATCCAGTGAATCGTCTCAGGCCACTGCAGAGGATGGATGGATGCCAAGTAACCAGCGTGCCGAGCAGCAGCGGCTCAACGCCGCTCACCAAGACATCGAGGTCCAGGGCGTGCTGATCAGGGCTCAAGCCTCCTTCACGCTCTTTGAGAACCACTTGAGGTACGCTGAAAAGGCCTTTGAGCGCTACGAGACAGAGGCCGTGCACGCGTTTGTGAACAGCGCACGAGAGGAATACCGAATCGCATTGAGCAACAAGCTGGAGGAACACGGCGGCGAGTGGACCTGGCAGGCAGCAAGGGAGGAGGGTCATAGGATAGTGGAAGCTGAAAAGAAGACTCGGAGGAGGAGCACGCGGTTTAGAGCCGGGTCTTCTCGGCCATCGTAGGCTTGGGGGCGCCCGCTGTTGGCCAGTCTGATTTTGCTCTGTCAAGCCGCTCAGCATTGTTCACTCTGTTTGGCCTTGCAGCACCAGTCTAGCTTCACCTAGCTTCTTACATTGCAACATGCATATAGCAATGGACAAGGACAAGAAAATCCACTTCGCTCAAAATACACTCACACCTCTACGTCTCCTCAAAAACATACAATCCCCCTTTCTCCTCAACCCCAACCTCAATCCCCGCCTCTTCGATCTCCTTTCCCCCAACCATGACCCCCGCCCTCATCACATCCCCCACCTCCACCTTCCCTACCCCCTTCGGCGTCCCCGTCAGCACAATATCCCCTTCTTCCAGCTTCATAACTCGACTGATCTCACTCAAAATCCGAGGAATCCTAAACAGCATCAGTGCCGTACTATCTCTTTGCCTCTCCGTTCCATTGACCGTAAGCCAGAGCTCCACATCATGCGGATCCGTTATGGCGGATTTGGGTATGTATTTCGAAACGGGGAGGAAGGTGTCGAAGCCTTTAGCAGCGGTCCACGGAATGCTTTTCCTCTTGGCTTCTTCTTGTACATCGCGCGCTGTCATGTCGATGCTGACGGCGTAGCCCGCAATGGCATCAAGAGCTCCTCTTTCGTCGTCTTGGGGTAGATCCTGGACCTTACGGCCCATGATCAAAGCGAGTTCGACTTCATAGTGGAGATTTACGCCCTTTGGGCGGAGGACGGGACCTTGGCCCGGTTCAAGGATCGAGGAGGGAGGTTTGAGGAAGAAGAAGGGTTTCTTGGGGCGGACATTATTGAGCTCTTTTATGTGGTCTCTTTGGGTGTATCAGCTGGAAATTCTAAGTCAACCTTAGGCGCAGACAGCGGAGAGCGGTTGGATGAGATGGATACGGAGTGGAGCATACGCATAATTTCTTCCGATGCAGACAACTTTGCGGCAATTGGCCGCGATGCCACGAGTGGCCATTTGGATAGAATCAGGATCCAATATTTCTGGTTCAAGTTTGCGAAGGGACTCCCTATGATGGAGGACCTCGTTGTTCTCTACAGTGGGAAAATGCCCCTCGCCAAATCCTGGCGTCGATCACGGAGGCTCCAAGTCACCAACTTCGCTGTTTGCCTCTTTTCCACAGTGCGATTTCCTGCTTGATCGATACTTCTTTCATCATGCAGATCGCATCGATTCTCTCCGATCTGACCTCTCTTCGTGTCTGCGTATGCTGCACTAAAGACTCTGCTTCTATCTGAGATACGTCAAGCTAACACCTTCAACAGGATCACTCCGCAGCCCTTGCACTCGTCTCGGTGCACAGAGCCGGACGTGTAGACGACGATCGAAAGCTGAGTGTGAAAGCCAAGGAGGATGTGGATATGCAGCGGGCAATAGATCTAGTGGAGTTGCACTATGGTGTCAAGATGAAGCACCTGCAAGGAGAGGAGGGGTTGAGGCAGGGGAGGAGAGAAGTTGACATGGTGCTGGAGAAGCTGGAAGGTAACAGTCTTAAAGATAAGAGAAGTCGAGGATGAGGATTGGCAGGAAAGAGACCTCCAGTCCTGTATGATAGAAGAAGTCTCTGCGTATGGACCGTCAAGAGGAGAAATGAATTGCGCAAAGGACCGAGTACGTAGGAGGACATGGAAATGTAGGCTGATGGATTTGAGAGACCCGGCGCAAAGGTCTTCATTTACGGGCATGTCTATCGATTTCTACAGTTAAAGCTGCGCCCACCTAGGAGTTGCTTGTGGCACTCGAGCAAAATGAAAGGGATCCGAGGATTGACAGTGCAGAATTGCTAGCAGAGCTTGTCAAAGTCGTCCGGGAAGTCTGGCGCATGGACCGCAACATCGACCGGAGTTGAATCCTCAATTGTCAGACACAGCACCCGCAACACCTTGGGGAAGCAATACAGCTCCCGTGACGGACCCTACAGCTTCCTGCGGAACCAACATTGTGGCAGCTTCTACGCCGGGTTTTGAGAGGTCAGGAACCGTCATGTTCTCCCCGTTAGCCAATAGTCTCAGCATTTGCTTCGTGGGAATAGCCAATTGTCGTCCTAAGGTAGCTTTAAGGATCGTCTTCCTCGCAACAGCGTTCCTAAGTTTTCGAAGGTACAGCTTCCGTTTTTTGACCCTTTGGTTTTCGGAAGCCTGCCATGCGATGGGCCTTAGAGACATGGATTGCATCGGAGGTGTATCCGTCAGGTTGCCGTCTTGAGTAGAGTGAGGGGGCTGAGAATTTCCTTCCTGAGGCAGGCTCTGGCGTTCAGTCGCAAGGACCTCATCAATCGTACGCGAAGCTGGGTTCTCCGCTTCGGATGAGCTAGGCCTATGGACCATGATTTTTGGTGTCGCATAATAGGGGACCGAGCTGGACGGACCGGAGATTCTGTCCATAACAGACGATATCGGTGTTGTAGCGGGTGTCGCAGGCCTTTCCTCCTCGAGTGGGACATCAGTGACTGTTCGTTACAGTGGACTGGTCAGCACACCCGGACAGCGCATCACAATTCGTTGTGAGGTACATACGTGTATTCTTATAACCCACCGGTAGCTCAGTATCACCCTGTTGGGTCATATCCTCGACAGATCCGCGTTCTGAAGCCGAAGCACTCATCTCGGCTACGTCCTCGACAGATCCACGCTGTGAACCTGGCTCTTTCTCCTCGGCTACGTCCTCGACAGAACTAGAATCCGAACCCGCAGCTCTCCTCTCATCGTTATCTGAATCTGCCATTGGTGATAAGCTATCACGAGGATGTTCGTCTGGTTCGTGTTTAATTGTTCCAGCGACAGATCCTCCAGCAGTAGGGGAGCTGCCGGCAGCGCTAAGAACAGGGGATGGTGGAACGTCTTCTCCGGTATGCAACTTTGATATCATTGTAGATATCATTGGGGTTGGCGGCTCCTCTTGCTTGCTATGGTCACGCAGTGAAGGAGATGCAGATGGTTGACTCGCTTGTGAAGATCGAGACTGTTGCTCATGAATAGGGACGAGGCGTGGCCAGCTCCAACCCGCAGAGCTGGATTGTTTGAACTCTGGTCTCTTTCCAATAGGGACAGGAGAGCTATGCATAGTAAAAGGATGCAAGTTTCGACATGAGGATTGAATGAGCGACTGATATATTGAGGTTGTGAGAAAGCATGCGCAGACTGAAGAAATATGTGGAAAAATACTCATCGTACTGGAGGCTCCTGCCAAAAACATCAATATCACATTTGAGAGAAGCCTTGCCATTTTGCAATGGGCGATTACGAGAGCCAGAGCCTCACTTGCCTATTTACCTCTTGTAGAATCAGAACGAGGGAAGTAACCTCACGCGCCTCGTAGCACTTCATGCCTTAATGGTAGGACCTTAGCCGCGCGACACGAAGGTGGAAATACTTCTGCAGTCGAGAGCCCACCACTCCTCCCATTGATTCCACCGCACTATAGAGGTTGTGTTGCTTACCATGGCTTCGAGTGTGGATGCAAAGCTGCTCAAGTCGACAAAGTTCCCAGCAGAGTTCAGTCAGAAGGTTGACATGCAGAAGGTCAATGTCGAAGTCATGAAGAAGTAAAGAAGCCCGACGACCGCCCAGTTCCTAGAGTGATGCTGATGAAGGAGTCATAGATGGATCGCTGGCAAGATTTCCGACATACTTGGGAATGAGGATGATGTTGTTATTGAGCTCTGCTTCAATTTACTCGAAGGTTCACGTAATGTCAGTATATCCCAGTGTCCTCATACCTTGACCGCGATTGGCTAACCTCAATACATATAGCCTGATATCAAAGTGCTACAAATCCAGCTTACAGGGTTTCTCGACAAGGATACTGCCAAATTCTGCAAAGAGTTATGGTTGCTCTGCCTCAGCGCTCAGAGCAACCCCCAAGGCGTGCCCAAGGAATTGCTAGAGGCCAAGAAGCTAGAATTGATACAAGAGAAGGTAGGGTACGCGGTTGTTTAATTTGGTGGGTCGGAGCTTATGTTCGATTATAGATTGATGCTGAAAAGGCTGCTGAGGAGGCACAACGCCGCAAAGAACAAGAGCGACAGCGAGATCGAAACATTGATAACATCAGGCAACGAGAGAGGGGTGAACGAGGAGGCCGTGGCCGGGGCAGAGGCGATAGGGGAGGCTATCGTGATTTCGATAGGCGTCCTACACGAGATTCAAGGTCTCCACCTCCCAGACGCCGAAGCCCACCACCTGGCTTCCGTGGTCCTCCTCCCCCACGTGAGACTGATACATACATTCCACCTAGCCGAGGTGGCCGTCGTTCAGATGACAGGCGACGCCGGTCGCCTTCTCCTAGAAGATCGCCTTCCTACTCGCGGTCCCGGTCTAGAACTCCACCACGTCGAAGATACAAAGACGACGATCCTCCAAGACCACGCCGTCGATATACTCCAAGCCAATCTCGGACTCCTCCACGACGGACTTATGGCAGAGATAGAGGTCAGAGGGTTCGGGGACGTGGTGATGATCGAGCAAGATCCTACACACCTTCAGATACCTCTCGCTCACGTTCCCCCAGACGAAAAAGACGCTCCCCTTCCCTGTCGTCTCGTAGTCCTACACCACCTTCAAGAGCCAGACATTATGGCCGAAGACGGCGTTCGTCATCTCCATCGAGTTCTCGCTCAACAAGCAGGGACCGAAAACCTGCGGGCAGATCCAGAAAATCACTTTCCTATGACAGTGATGACAGAAGGAGTCGCGCTGATTATCGAAAGGGACCAAGACATCATCATGACCAGCATCGCAGCCCCAGCCCCAGCGGTAGCCACAGCAAAGAACGACTTTCTCCTGCTCCTGCACCATTAGACAAAAGTCCAACACCCCCTAGACAGAGAGATCGGAAGAGGCGTCGCTCCTTGCAGAGATACGCACCTGCAGGCAGAAGAAGGCGCAATACCTCATCAGTGTCCTCACCCGTTGACAAACGACGCAAGACAGCTGACTCTTCTGCGGACGAGGACACAGAGCCAAAGGGCATCAAACCGCAAAATCACCCTGCCGAGTCAGACAGGCATGTTGAGGTGGGTAATAATTCATAAGATCTGCAAATGTACTACCAACATCCTTCCCACAAGACGCCCAGGTTTGGCAGATGCCCTTGAGGTCCTATGCTGACGAACTTCTCCTACTTCAGAATCATTCACCCACGCTCACAGCTACCGAGCTTCGTGAAAAGCTCCTCCGAGAAAAGGTAAAGGCTTTACGGAAGTCGAGCAGTACTCAAAAGGAACTCGATGCAGATGAGGGTTGATTGCATCACAGATGTGCTCATGTAACTCTCGATTTGCTATATTCTGAATCAAAAGAGACCCCACAGATAGCTTAGCAGCCTTTATTGCATCTTACATAGAGATATCAACCTCGAAGGCTTCTATTCATCGTGCAGCCTCTAACGTGATGCACCTCAAGTATTCGACCTCGTGGAATTTGGAAGGTCCTTAGATGTTTCTCTAAAGCAAAATGGATGGCAAAATAGAAGGATGTAGGCCCTTGACCGTCCTCAATGTCTTTCTCAGAATCGCCTGAAAAGCCGAATCTCTTTCCATCATCGGGGCATTACATAAGGACCCAAGGAGTGCTTCGTGCCGCTGCATGCTACTGGTTGATGTTTTTTGAACCTGTTACATAAATAACTTGGATGTCTAGGGGCGTAGAAAATCAACACAACGATACTGAGAAAGTGCGGTTACACACTCATGACATCGCCCGGGTGAAAGACCACATGGTTGCTTAAATCTCTGTGTAAAGCAAATCCGACTACCTATGATGCTGGGTGTCGACCACCAAACACGCAGGCATACGCTTTGCTTATGTACAAGACCATCTTTCATTCTAAACTCCATTTTTAGAAAAAAAACAGCATTTGAGTCGCGGATGCCAACCATCAGCAACCAGCACACCTAATCTCGCATTTTAAAGTACATCTCCCACACCCATCAGACTGGGACCATAATCAGTTGTCATATCCCGGACCATGCTGTGAATGGAGCCTTGCTGGTCGGGAATTGCTTGTGAATTTGAATGTCACTCTTAGGTACCCCAGATAGCGGATTCGCCATATAGAACCCGCTACTATTCAAGCAGTAGCCTCAACAGTCCCATCTACCGCTGGCGGCTTGTATTCTTTTTCTGGGGCACTCTCAATGGCAGGCTCATCAGTCTTCTCTTCCTCCGCCATCTTCTCTTGTTCCGTGGCCGTTACTTCCGGCTTCTCAGCTTCTTTTTCTCCCTCAATAGTTGTACCGATCTTCTTCTCCAATTCCTCCCCATTCTCCTCTTCTGGTGCATCAGCCTCCTCATCTTCAGCCTTCATGGCCTGCTCGTCAACCTCCTTGGAACTTTCGCCGTTGGTAGCGGGAGCATTTGTGGACGCTTCGGGCTTGGTCTCATCATCTCTGTCACCTGCTCCCCCGCCGTTTGGATCGTTGGATAAAGTCTCATTCCATTTTGCAAGCAATTCAACAGAGCGGGTCTTGAAGTGAAACTCTTCATCTAAAGGGATCGAAGGGAGCTTTAGCATTTGTCTCAGTACCTTATGGATCTTCGTCGTGCGAATGATGCTCCCTTCAAGATCTGGATAGGTCTCTAGCTCGCTCAAGAAGTCGGACATAGACTGTTGCATCTTAGTATGGATTTGAGTTATTGGAGGTAGAGGCTTTGACAAACTTTCATCTCGTCCTCCTTAGGCATGGTATCACGAGAAAGGAATCCTCGCTGCAATTTATGCCGGTAATAGAGGACTACTTCAACTCAGTACCAATTAACTCGAAGGTTTCGGATATCCTTACCTTTCTTCTCCTTCATCTCCTTAATCTGAGCTGGGGTCGGAGGCTTCTCTTCGATTTTGGGAGTGACGGCCTCTTCCTCGCTTCCGCTCTTCGTAACTGTAGCTTTGGCTTTGGGTTTCGCCGTCTTCTTCTTAGTGGATGATTCAGCTGCTGGTGTTTTAGGCGTAGTCAATTTGAGCTTGGTTGCTGTCTTGGGGGTCTTCGCAGGCTTAAGCTTGTCAGTGAACATCTAACAATGACCGTCATGGAATTTCCTACCTTTTCGTCGGCATCCTCACTGTCATCCGCCTTTTTTCGCTTCTTCGACTTGGGCTTCTCTGCAGCTGCCTCGTCGTCGATATCCATCTCCTCGGCATCATCGGCGACAGCAGCAGCGTCACCGCTCTTTCGAGAGGGCTTCTTGGTCTTCTTAGCTGCCTTTTCTTCTTTTAACTCTTCATCTATTTCAACGGCTTTCTGGTGATCTGCAAGCATGATCTTGAAATGTGCCAAATCATTGTTCTCTGCAGCCTTGCTATAAGCTGCAAGTAAAGTCTTCGATTTGCCCTTCTCTACTGGGTTCTTAGTCGTCTCAGATTCAACGTCCAGCGGTGTCAGCTCGGTGTTAGGGATCCAGGCACTGCGGAGACAGGTCAGCAACTGGCCACACGAAGTATCCCACATGGAATCAAAAACTGCGACAAAAAGGCGCATTCGGAGGACTCACAATTCATTTGTATGTCTATACCAGGTTAGTAATAATCGCTCAAAACGTAGGATATGATCTCACAGAAACATGATAGGAAATGTCCTCTCATGAGCCCGCTTGCCTCCATCAGCGTACTCTGGCCGCTTGAAAGTTCCATCTTCTAAAGCTGCGGTCACCGGTCGAGTGGTCAAAAGGCTCTGTGGAAGCATATCTTCATCGCAGATGACAGAAGGCCATGGCGGGTGGCCCTTCATTCGAGCAATGTAATATTCGCCAGGTTGAGCATTGAGGTTCGTCAAAGGCCTCGATTTTTTCTTGTTCAGCTTCTTGCTCTTGTGTTCCGGAACCGCCGATGACTTTTTCCTCGAAGAACCACCAGTGCTCACTCTCTTTGATGGAGCAGGAGTACCGTTGGTGGGAGGAATGGCTGAACTGGATTCAGCTCCATAGGCATCACCGGTCTCTGCGGCGTCTTGCATTTCGGTATCTCGGGTATCTGGGGCGGAAGTGGAGGCCTTGTCATCAGTGGCGTGGCTTGTGTCGCCGTTGGTCTTGGTAGCTGCGAGAAGAAAACATGTCAGTCTGGTGTCAGAGCGGGGTTGCTCGAAATTGGACGTACCGTCGGCAGATTCCTCTTGTTCTGCTCCTTCCTTGGGCGGCTCAAAAGCCCCCTCGTCCATCGTTATATCGGCGGCCTCAGCACCATTGTCTTGTTGCGAGTGCTCCATCTCATTACCTAATGTGGTAGGGTTAGGTAAGGCGACGTTTGTCTCTTCGGCCATAGTTGAGGGTGACAGAATCGCAATAATGGAGATGGTCGGTGAAAGTTCTGTGTGGATGTGGATTAACACGCGTTTCTGAATAGGAACTGACGCGAAATTGACTGTATGAAAATAATCCAATTCAACAAAAGCAGTGACGATGAAGCTTGAAGATGTCTTTTGTATTGGTGTTGAGTGAAGACTGGATATGAAATGACTTGCAAATTCTGATCGCGGTGGAACGAGAGATGCGCAATTGTGTCAACCACCGGGATCGTTGTGAAAATTACTCTAGAGCACTACGAGAAGCCGCTTACATAAGATTGTCTCTCTCAGGCTTCCCAGCCACCTGCTATTGTCCGTTGACTTCACTGAATGAAGGTTTATGAAGGGTATGATTGATGATATCTGGTTTGTAGAATACAATATGTGATGACAAAAAGAAACGGTTGCGCCCGGTCGATGTTGAGCGATGATGTTGAGTGCGGAGATTGAAAACCAAATCATCCTTTTTTGCACCCCAAGCCTTTCTTGTCCCATTATTTTAAACCAGTAGTACGACGTATAACATCATGCGCAAGGGCGACCTATTTGTTGTTCTGTAGATCAGGTTGAAGCATCGCTACAACACAAATTTACCTTTCCTTCAGCATCGCAGTCTTCGATGATGAGAAACGAGAGTAAAACTGCGTACACAGGCACTACCATCCAGTCCAGCACCGAAGAGAGCAGCTTTGCTGGAGATGGCAAATGCATGTCAAGATCACAGAAGTTTTGTGAGCTTCGGAGCCAGAGGTGTGAAAGGCAGCTATCATCAGCGCCATGGCTTTGATATTGTTTGATCCGATATTTCGATACATGGCAATGATGTCCCAATGCATTTCTCGTTCCTTTGCCAGTCAAAAGCTCTATGGTTGCACGACGCCCCGTGGCACCAAATCAGCCAGCTCTCCACACTTCTTGCACTTCCTCTTTTCATCCGAGGTCTTGAACCCATTCACTGCCTCCTTGATCTGAGTCCCAAGATCTGTACAATGGAACGCTTCCTCGTTCACAATATCTCCACAATTCTGGCAGTACCACCTCAGCCGATCCTTGCTTTCTGCTGGCCTGGGCTGCTCTAGCACGATGCCAACTGTATCTGCGAATCGCACTGGGTTGTGTGGCGTGTTGGGAGGCAGCAAGAACATCTCGCCCTCGTGGATTGGAATATCTCGGAAGTTGCCGTCGTCTACGACTTTCAGGAGCATCGAGCCCCGGTATTGGTAGAACCATTCGGCCGTCTCGTTAATGTGGTAGTCTGATCGAGCGTTTGGTCCACCGACAATCTGGAAACCCATGAGCACCCTGTAGCTTGTGATCGACCGTTACTACCAGCGTACCATTACAGTCACGTCATCTTTATAGACACAGTAATTATTGATTGGTGGCTTGAGTAGATGGGAATTCTCCTCCAGCCTGATAATTTGTTAGGTTTACAGTCGAAATATGGCGCCGCTACTGACCATTTTGGGATGTTCAATGGACTCGATAGCATATTGGGGCGATTTCTGGAAAATTGAGGTGAGTGGGACAAGTGCAATCTTCGCAAGTCATGATGAGCGAATACATTCGATGCTGCACCAGTTCATGAAGAGCAGTGGTTTTTCTATGACGAATTGAAGATGACAAATCTGGTAATTACAGCTAGGGCCAAATGGATAAAATACAATCGGTATCCATCACCTACCTCACCCACAAAAATAAATCGTGGAGAACGAACAGCATTCGGTTAATAATTCATGCAAAACCCACATAACGTGAGGCTCCGTCATACTTAACAATGGCAAGTACACCTCAAGCACCAGTCTATCTCACAACGCAAAAGTCCCTCGCTCACCGATTGATCCTCTCCACCCTTACTGGCCGTGCAGTTCACTTTAAACAGATCCGGCCGTCATCTCTTACTCATACCGGCCTCGCCCCTCACGAGATTTCTTTTCTTCGCTTACTCGAAGCTGTCACGAATGGGTCGCAGTTTGTAATCAGTGTTACGGGAACAGAGCTGCTCTACAAACCAGGATTGATAACAGGGAGCGCACCTGGCTCTGGTGCCAGTGCTGGGGTAATAAAGCATGAGCTGCCCGCTGAGTGTACCAGAGGCATCAGCTACTTTTTGGTACCCTTATGCCTCCTGGCACCATTCTCAAAAGCCCCGATCAATGTCCTATTCACCGGTCCTGGAGTAATTACTTCTGCCACACCCTCTGGAGATTTGTCTGCAGACAGCGTGCGAACAGCAATATTGCCTCTCTATGCACAATTTGGGATAACAGACAATATTGAACTGAGGATTTTGCGGCGCTCCAACGTGAGTACTGGTGGGAAAGGAGGAGCTGGCGAGGTCCAGCTTGTTTTCGGGCATCAGGTCCGGCTTCCTAAGACGGTACACATAATGAATCCTGGACGAGTGAAAAAGATACGAGGTGTTGCATATTGCACAGGGGTCTCGGCCTCAAACAACGCTCGGATGATTGAGGAAGCCAGAGGAGTTTTGAATCCGATGACGGCAGACACATACATCTTCTCAGATGTGTCTTCTGCTCCCTACCCAAAGTCAAGGGACAAATCCAATACGAATCAAAACAGGAAAACAGGAGTTGGATTTGGGCTTTCCCTTGTTGCAGAGTCATCTACCGGATCGCTTTACTCCGCAGATCTTGCATCACCGCCGGCAGGAGGAGTACCACCAGAGGATATAGGGCGACAGTGTGCATACCAGCTCCTCGAGTCCATCTCTTTCGGTGGAGCTGTATCTCTAGCAGCCGCGCCTACTGTATTGACCCTTATGGCCATGGGTTCGGAAGACGTTGGAAGATTACAGCTGGGCAAGGATGTGCTTAGTAGCGAACCAATAATTGGACTTGCCAGAGATCTCAAAGCCTTTGGAGCCAGCGGATGGGGAGTACGAGAGCCTATCACAGGACTGGACGGTGACGTGGTAGTGAGCGTCGTCGGCAGGGGTGTAGGCAATGTGGGAAGAAAAATTGCCTGAGGGCATTCAACCAAGTGAGGATACTAACTACAAGCCTCGAGGATGAGCCATGATTTCCCCCTAGGAATGAGGAAGTCCAGCAAATGTCGTGGCGCTGCGATTCGAAGACGACTTTTGGCCCAAGCATTGTCAAATCCGCCTGCCAGAACGGGCGTAGGAAGTGACTACAGACCATTAAAATTGCTAGGACCAAATACCTATGGTGCTCATTGCTGAAAGATGCAGATTAGCTGCACCTTCAGAGTAGTTTGGAATCCGATGTGAGTGGTGCAGGTAGGTCGCGAGCTTACTCACATACCATTTCATGCTGTATCACACATTACTCCACGCTCATGTTATCTCGACATGATTCTCGTGAAGGACTGACAAAGGCATGTTTTTCGCCATGGTTCCTACTCGAGAAGCTTATTTATCATCGGCCGCGTGACTCTCGAAGTCTGGCGTCTCAAACTCATGTACTCACGAGTAGTCATAGCTTGCATGTTCATCAATAAGATTTCTCTTTCAGTTTTGGTTCGAATCTCGTGGTCTTTCGCCAAGCTCTTAGCCTTGGCTCCATGTACGCTTGAAAGTATACAAATCTTCTCGAATGTATCACAAACTTCCATCCCTGAGTCATGGTTCTGCAAAGCATTGTGATCTTAAAGAATGAAAAGTTGGTATCTATGCCTAGACTCTCCAGTTGGCATCATTTCTGGATTCCTGAAAATGATGCCAAGAGTGCTGGAGGTCGTCATCCACCAGACGGATGAGAGAACATAACGAGACGAAACTTACTCATGAAGACATGACCTTCAAAGCACATAGTACTTGCACTCTACACCTGTCTACTATTCAAGCCTGCATCATTTGCCATTTCGGGCAACGGTGTCAGTAAGTGTTCCCCAACAAGTGCTTGGCGCTGCAATTTTTTTTGCAGATTTTTTTTTGCAGATTTCTCTTTTGAGCATATATCATTCTGTGGTTTGTAAAAATACCGCATTTTGTCGCTTTCTGAGCTTTTCTTGTGAGTCACAGCTGTTTAGTCGAATATCCTGTAAATATATAAAGCCCTTGAAAACAGTCCCACTTCCTACATCTTCACCATCACCACGTCCGTCTATTACCCAGCATACAGCTCGAGTAATAGGCATTCCATCTCTCATACTCCTTGCTCATAAGATCTCCTTACTGTCGATACGCATCTAAACTCTCCCATCACCATCACCATCACCATCACCATCATAAGACACATATCGACAAAATGGACACCTTTACCTCAGCTTGCCTCGCGCCTACCATGCCCGCGAAGGGTAGTCTAGAATCCATTGGCAGTGTCCGTGCCATGCACGAACGAGCAAACGCTGAAACCGCAGACAATTCAGATTTCGGCAAGTTCCAGCACGAGAGTGATCCTCATGCCAATCATATCTTCGCAATGCAAGTTTCCTATCACTTCATGAAGTAAGATCGACAAAAGCTGACATTCCAATAGGTTTGGACAAGAAGCATACGATGAGTATATCCGCGATGTCGCGGCACAACGTCAACGCGAAAAAAGTGAAGCCGCCGAGAAGCTCGCTCGCCGCACCGCCCATATGAGACGATTCCTTAACATCCATACCAGGATCGAACACAAGCTTGCAACTCTCGTCGCCAACGTCGCAAGCAAGGTTGTTCAGCGCCATATCACCGCCTAGAAGCCATCCTCCTACCACCTACGTCGAGATCTGGACCTGCCCAGCTCTATCTGTCAATCTTCCTTCCTCATCGACTTTAATCCACGGCCTTTTCGATCAGCATCACCTCTGTTGTCGAAACCTGCATCAGCATCGTTCACCTCAGCACGCCTCATCCGGAGATGGCCGGCTCTGATCGTCACGACCACCCTCAAGCTAGCTGTATGTAATCACGAAGGCTTCGGCTCGACCGCATTCGGCACTACCTGTTTATACGAGACACTAATTTCTTCAGACGATTCAACCAAAGATGGCCGGCCTTAATCGTCTCTAACTCCGCTACCTTGACCCCATGGAGTCTCTTGCTACGTGCCTAACCAGGATACACTCACCAGTCGGCCTACCTTCACGTTTCGGCTACTCCAGCTAGCAGTCCGATATCACTGCCGACTTCCGCTACCGTCTGCTGCGAGCGCGGACGAACAACTACCGCTGGCCTGAAACCTTCTTTGGCGCTGCTCTCTACCAACATCCAACAGCCTCTACAATCTGGCTACCTCAGCGTGCAGTCCTGGGCCGTCAAACAAATCCACCATACCTTCATGGCAGCGAGCTCGAACACACACTCACCGCGGACATCAGAACGATTTCGGCGCGGCACGCAGCCACATCAAAAGACGGGCAATTTAGTCTCCTGAGCAACTCCGACTCGAAGCTGTGGCGTTTGCAGACCAACTACAATATCAGAAGCGGATAGAAAGCCTCATATTCCTCATGACTGATACCCGAATCGACTTAGCCTTCGTCATAGGAAAGCTCAGTCAATTCTGCTGTGACCCCACTGTCCGCCACATGAATGCCGTGAATCGAGTACTCAAGAACATACGGGGCACCACATCCTTAGGACTACGCTATCAAGGGACTGGAACACTAAAAGGATTCGCGGATTCAGCATACGGTGATGACCAGGAGGACCGCAAGTCCACCTACGGATTCGCCCTACTATGTGGACAAGCAGCATGTGTGTGATATAGCCGAAAACAGCGAGGGGTAGCCACATCTACCACAGAAGCTGAATATGTGGCCCTGGCAGAAGGAGGTAAGACCATCGTATGGACCACATAATGGCTGCAAGGGGTCCGTTTTCGAGCACTAAACGAAGGCCCCATGACACTGCTCGGTGATAACAAGGGGGCCATTGGCTTTACAAGGAACCCCGAGCATCACCAGAGGACCAAACACATCGACGTTCAGTATCATTACATTCGTCAATTGGTTAGGACGAGGCAGTCACCATAGACTACATACCCACAGCCCAAATGGCAGCAGATATCCTCACCAAACCACTCAACAAGAAGCTATTCGAACAGTGCAGGGAGCTACTTGGTATGTACAGCCATTCGAGCTATCAGACGACTCGAAGCTGTGGCGTTTCCACATCGCCACCATACCAATATTACCACACCTTCGACTGGCAGTCATGCCCTACCGCAGCCGGCATAGTAGAACCATCATCGTGAAAGTGTCGCCCAACCGTGCCTATGTAAGTTACCGTGGAAGCTTGAGTGTCCCATTACCAGTCTCACAATACTCGCAGCACCTTTAAGAGCGTCTCGTCTTCGGAATTTCGCCACAAAAATACCAAACATTAACGAAGACCACATCAAGGCACCCTTCATCAATATCCCACCAACATGTACAGCTCAGATGCTCGAAGCCACAGTACAATTACTTCTTGGCCTCCAAAGATTCTCTTCACGGCAACAAAATTCACACATTGCGATGGCGTCTACTAGACACGCTTACAGTCAGTCATTGTGATACAAAGCCTTTTGCCATCATTCTCACCACTTTTGCAGCGCTTTTGAGAGCGTCTCCTCTCCAGCACTTCCACACGGTCGACAGCCACCTCGAACACCGCCGAAGACATCACCAAAGCACCAGCATCAAAAACATCGCCAACATCTACTGCTCACATGTTCTCAGGCCTCCTCGCCGCCACGCTTAGCCACGATCCAGGCATCAGCAACCCCTTTCTGCTGGGGAAACTAAATCAAACCTCGTCATGGCATTTATCCGACATGCTTGTAGTAAGTCGCTGACAAACCACAAACATGTTGACATTATCCTGACCACTCTCGCGTAGCCTCGAGCATGATACTTGCAAACACAACAGCATACCACGGCCTCATCATATACTCGTTGGCTGTCAGCATCTCAAAGCAAGCGACGACAGAAGCAAAGGTCCGGGGTGGGGGTATTGGGCAGGGAATTGGGGAATGGGGATTGGAGAATTGGGGTTGGGGGTTGGCGGTTGGTTTTGGAGTTTTGGATACTTTGAATTCTGGGGGTTTTGAAAGGAATTGTGGGAAAGCAGGTGAAAAGGGGTTTTCTTGGCTTGGGTTATGTCGAGCATTGAGCTTTTCGAGTTACGTCCTGATGGGTTTCGTATTGACATAGATTAATGGAGAGTTGCTCTCAATCACACGCTGCTTCCGATCTTTGCGCCATTACTGACAGTGGGATGGAATGCATGAGGGTCCTGGTTTCACTCCAATCGCATGGTTGCTTAGTTATGCATTTAGGCCGCGAGGCCGCTTGTATAAATACCGACAGACCCAAGGTTCCTCGAACCATGAAACGTGGTTCGCCTGAACACCTATCATTGTTTATCTCTTGCACATGGTTTTTTCCATAAGTCTCCCTCGATCCAGGAACAGTGTGCTGAATATAAAATTGAGCTCTCGTTCCATCATTCTCCGTCATTCATGTCTGCTATCATTGATGCACTTAGGCGAAGCGACAGGGGACTACCAACCAATCAGATAACGAGCCGAAGCGGACTTTAGTTCCCATCGAACGCGACTCAAAAAAAAAGGTAACAATGGCAACGCAAACACCAAATCGTCGGTCACTGGGTCGCCCTCGTCCGACTCTAGCCCATTCAATTGTCACCACTGCCTCCTCTCCAAACCTGGCGCTCGCTTTTGAGCGACCTCCGCTCCCAACATCTCAACTCTCTGGCCGACGCGCCAGCGGCAATCTCGCTCTCAATCGGAAACTTTCTTACGGCCAAACGGGGGGCCCGGCTAGCTTGTCTACGATTGCAGATGGAAGTGAAGGATACACGCCCACGTCTGAAGGAGGATCGAGTCCGTTCACCATGTATCCTTCCAAGCCTGCGAACAGCAGGACTATCAGTGATGACAAATTCGCAAACCAGAATCTAGAGGTGGGAGATATGGTAGATGTGCCGGGGATGATGCATGGTACCATCAAGTTCATTGGCGAGGTCAAGGGCAAAAAGGGTCACTTTGCTGGGGTAGAGCTCAGCAAGGAATTCGCAGCTAAGGGGAAGAACGATGGAGATGTGGATGGGTCTGCCTCAATTGAACCTGTACGGAGGACTTTAAGCTTACCGTGATGAAGCATACGATATTTTACTACAACCATACGCGGCGCCGGCATCTTCTTGCCATCTAACAAAGCTTACAAGCGGCTCTCTCCCACCTTCTCTGCCGACTCCATGCCTCCTACACCACCAGCGCCCTCCTTTGCGCCTGGTAGCCGAAACACCCCCACATCGTCAACGACATCAAGGTTCAGCCAATCCGTAGGCCCAGGCCGAGCACAGAGCCCTTTGAGGGCCAAGTCAAGGCCATCATTACCTCGACCAGAATCTCCGTTGCGGAAAGCTCAGAACGCTACTTCCACACCTTCAGGCCGACCTTCTCTAGGAGCGCCGAAGCTTTCCAAAAGCATTGTCGGTGGTCCACGATATGCGCCGAGCCCTACACCAGCGAGGTTTGGAGCTAGTGTGAGAGGAGGCAAAGATGGAGATCCAGGGAAGAGAACTATGAATACAGCCAAATCCACGCCTAAGACACCAAACAATGTTCGACCTCATTCTCGGAGCGAATCCCGCCTTGGGCCAGAAGCCATGTTTGACGAAGACTCTGACAACACCCCAATCGGTACTGCAAAGATTGCGTATGGAGCTCAGAGCACACAACAGAGTTCGCGGCCTGTATCGAATCAAGATCATGAGGTCAAGCAACTTAGACTGATGCTGCAAGAGCGAGATAGACAGCTCGAGAAACAGACTAGCGATTTAGAGGAGATGCAGAATAGTATAGCGGAACTGCAGTCAGTGGAGAGAACTCCGACACATAACTCCGCTGGCACATTAAGATCTAGAGGCTCTGGAATTGATGAGTTGGATGCACCGTCTTTGCGTGCTCTAGTGCGGGAAAAGAATGAGAAGATTGCGACGCTTACTAGTGATTTCGATGCTCATCGCGCGCAATTCCGGAACACCATTGACAGCTTAGAGCGTACCAGTGATGAAACCAATCGAATCTATGAACAGCAGGTCGATAGCCTGAAGCAGGAGATCAGAGAGTTGCAAGATCGAGGTGACGACGTAGAGAGCGTCGCCCAGCAACTGAAACAACTGGAGGAACTGGTCCAAGAGCTCGAAGAAGGTCTTGAGGATGCTCGCAGGGGGGAAGCCGAGGCTAGGGGTGAAGTCGAGTTCTTGAGGGGAGAAGTCGACAGGACACGATCAGAGCTACGACAGGAGAGGGAAAAGGCTATTGCAGCTTTGAAAGGAGCGAGTGCAACCATGGATGGCGGCTTAAGTCCTGGCGGGTCGTCAAGAGAGGTAGAGCAGAGAGACGATGAGATCAGGGGCTTGAAGGCTATCATCCACTCCCTGAGCCGAGACGCCGTCCCTGAAATGGGCAGTCCAAGGCCTAGCAGTCGCCGAGTCTCGAAGCAACGGCATAGTGGTCTGAATCAGGCGAATGGTCATAGCGAAAGCCAGCTAGCAGAGGAGCGCCAAGCGAGAGAAAAGCTCGAACGAGAAGTCAAAGAGCTAGAGGGTTTGGTAGATCGGAAGACTTATCGTGAAGAGGAGCTAGAACATGAGATCAATCGGCTGCGCGAGAATGTCGCCCATTTCAGTGCTAGCAGCAATGGCTTCACCGAACGACCGCCTACAAGCAACAAGCACAGGCCAAATCTGAGCGAGCATTCCTCCGACGACTGGCCCGGGCAGGCGTCGGATAATAAGCAGCGAGGCGGCCACCTCGAGTCCATGCCCGAAGCCGACAGCCACTCCACCACCATGACAGACAGCAGCACCCTCTACTGCGACATGTGCGAGACTTTCGGCCACGAGATCCTCACGTGTCCCACCATCAACGGCGAGCACTCCGACCTCCAATCCAACCCAAAGCCCAGTCCCCCTCCGCAACGGACGGGACGGGATGTCGTCACGGAAGGCTTCAAGGGGCTCGGCGTGTCGTCGCCACCGACGAATCACTACCCGGCACCTCTGAGTCCGGCCAGGAGCCCGGCGATGACCCCGAAGGCGAACCTGATGCCGAATCCGATGGAACAGGGGCCGGTGGCCGGGAAGAAGAGTGGCGTGATCGATGGGGAGAGGTGGTGTGCGCTTTGCGAGAGGGACGGGCATGAGAGTGTGGATTGTCCGTTTGAAGACATGTACTGATCCACCCGTTCTCTTGTTCACCTGCGTCTCGTCTTCCGCCAGCGGATTGGGCCGGCGAGTCACCTGAGCATTGCAGGTGTTGGTTTCCGGGAGATGAGCGTCAAGGACGATACCTATCCACCGCGGAAGTTGTTTAGTTACTAATGTATAACCTAGACGGCGTATGAGATGACGCTCCGTATCACTCGCTGTCACTCCACTTCGCACATGTTCTCTCTTGTGACAGCGACGTCCATGTTTCGATTGAGTCTATCCCATCTCATCTAATCAAACACACCCCATCCAAACCCCCTCAAAGCAAAGGATTACCCCTGTACTCGGGCGCCTCCCCATTCGTAGGCTTCTCCGCCTGCTTCTCCCCCTCGAGGCCGCCCTCCACGTCCTCGTCCTCCGCCTCGGCCAGGAACTTCTCCGCCTCCAGCGCCGCGACGCACCCGCTCCCCGCGCTCGTGATGGCCTGCCGGTACCGCCTGTCCTGCACGTCCCCCGCCGCGAAGACCCCCTCCACGTTCGTGTAGCTCGTCCCCGGCTTCGTGAGGATGTAGTTTTCGCCGTCCATGTCGAGGACGCCGCGGAACATGGCGGTCGCCGGGTCGTGCCCGACGGCGTAGAAGAGGCCGTTGGCCTCCATTTCCGACTCTTCGCCCGTGGAGACGTTTCTGAGACGCAGGCCCGTCATGAGGCCGCGGTCTTCCTTCTCGCCCGTAACCTCGGTCGCCACGGTGTTATACTTGACGCTTACCTTGGGGTGCGCGAGTAACCGCTTCGCCATCGTTTTGCTGGCTCTTAACCTGTCCTTCCGTACGAGCACGGTGACATGACTGCCGTATTTGGCCAGGAACATGGCTTCTTCGGCCGCTGAATCGCCGCCTCCGATCACGACCAGGGGTTTTTTCCTAAATATGGGTACAGCGCCGTCGCAGACCGCACAGGCGGATATACCGTTTTGCCAATATTTCTCCTCGCCTGGTAAATTCAACCGCCTTGCACTGGCCCCTGTGGCTACTATGACCGCCGAGGCTGTGACTGGCTCGTCCGTATCTTCAGGCCACAGTTTAAACGGCCGACTCGACAGATCGACCTTCTCTATCGTCTCCGAAATGATCTTCGTCCCAAACCTCTCCGATTGCGCCCGCATGGCATCCATAAGCTCTGACCCCCCTATACCCCCAGGGAATCCTGGATAATTCTCCACGTCCGTGGTCGTGGTCAATTGGCCGCCCGCAGCTATACCGTTTGCCAGCATTCCTTCGTATAACACCGGTTTCAGCTCGGCGCGCGAGAGGTAGACGGCTGCGGTGTGGGCGGCGGGGCCGGAGCCGATTATGATGACTTTGGAGTGCATGGTTCGAGGTTTTGAGCTGGTATTGCCCAGAGGCGCGGAGAAGGTGGGAACGGACGCAGAGACGGGCGTGGGCTTGTGTTGGAAGGAGCCGGCCGCTGCGAGGGTGAGAGAGAAGCTGGAGCGGAGAGGAAGGGAGGAGAAGCGGGGGAAGGTTTTGGAAAACAGGATGAAGGATGGGAGGGTGCAATTGGAATTAATAGGAGGTGGTGGACGATCTTGTTGCTTACCAGTCGAGCTGAGTTGAAAATAGGAGGGAGAAGAGAATGGAAGGAGTAAATATACGAGTAGTGTCACCAGT